GAAATCTCAGCTTTATGCTTGATCTATAATTTATTCTATTAGTGTATAATCTAATTTATATCACACTTGGACGGTGGAGTAGCCTAGTGGTTAAAGTGTTCGATCGTCACGTCGAAAACCAGGGTTCGATTCCTTATGTGGGTACAATGACTGAAGCCCATTTCTGGTGTCGCCGGTCGTGATATTGCTTGAATAATGATTAACCCGGCGTATAATATTACACTCATGCAGTGGTTCATGGCTGGGATATTGCCGAAGGTGGATAGGCCGCTCACTCACTCACACCCTCCTTCCTTTCTTCCTTCCTTCAATGACTCACTCACTCACTCACTCACCTGTTTTTCATTTCTAGGTGTAGAACCATGTCGAGAGCGCCTTCAATCTGGTACCATTATCAAGACAATTTCCCAGGGGACATAATCCAGCAGAGTGTATGTGTGCCGGAAGAGGGCGCCACCGTAGACACCTACTACTGCTGCATGCAGTGGAATGCCGGCATCCTGGGAGGAGGGTACTGTGGCATCCAGGACCATCCTAAAGGGAAAGCCTTTATTTATTCTCTGTGGGACCCTGCTCAAGCCAAACAACCGATAACGGCGGTATATGTGGGAGAGGGTACGGAAGTCAGCCATTTTGGCGGAGAAGGCACGGGTCTTCATGCCTTCAACGTATCGTTGGGTTGGCAGACAGATAACTGGTATACCCTCGTCTCAAGAGTCTGGCCATATAAAGATCACACTTATTACGGTTTCTGGGTACACGATGAAACGGCAAAGAAGTGGAACCACCTCGTGACTATGGATTTCCCGTACAGCAACGTACAGTTCAGTACATCCACCGGCAGCTTCGTTGAAGACTGGGTCGGGACGGGAGACAATACAAGACGAGCATTCTACCGTTCTGGATTTAAGCGTCAAATGAAAGGATGGTATCCTTTTTCTGTTGGCACCTTCAGTGTCATCATGGAACCCCCCAGCGCCAAACACGCCCATAATTACGACGCAGGTACCATCAACGACTCCTTCTACCTGGCGAGCGGAGGGGACATAAAACCCACACCAGGAATTGGTACAAGCCATACGTTCTATCTGTCAACTGCAAGAGAACCAAAAGAGCCGTACATTGACTTTACCATCATCAAAGCAAGCCCTTCAGGTGTTGAATGGGCTGTACCATCTTCATCTACACCCCAATTCAGGTTCAGCGTGTCTGTGGCAGGTCGGACAGTTGCTTCGGACATCCAGCCTGAAGTCCGAAGCCAAGCACTGACCGGATGTGATCCTGGAGACGTGGTCACTGTTACCCTGGAAGACATCATGGGTGGTTGCGAAGCGAGGTCCGTGAAAATCTCTGATGTCTCTTGTCCCTGTCCCGGAGGCATGAAACTGTCGTGTTCTATCGTCTAGCTCTACACAGCATTTTTGCATTGTGTATGTATGTATATATTATATGGGGCTCATCACGCCGAAGACCCGGGTTCGATTCCCCACATGGGTACAATGTGTTAAGCCCATTCCTGGTGTCCCCTGCAGTGATATTGCTGTAATATTGCAATATTGCACTCGCTCATGTATGTTATATACATTGTAACGATACAAAGTATTGCTGCTTTAGAGTTATGTATTAGCATATGTTTTCAGAAATAAACTAAATGTAATGTTACAAGTTATAGAATAGATTGTTTCCACGTGGCGAATAACCATTGACCAGGTTCAGCCCCAAGAACTGAATAAGCACAATGCAATATCGCGTTCACAACATTGTGAATCGATTTATTTTCACATAATACATTACCCATTCATAAAGGCATCATTTTGTTTGTTTTTGTAATGTTGATGGAATGATGATTTACACTCACAATACACTCTTAAAAAAGAATAAAATAAAATTAAAAAAAATACCGACCGCGTCATACCAAAAGACGTTAAAAAATGGTACTTGTTGGTTCCTGCCTGGCGCTCGGCATTAATGGGTACAACAAGGACTGGTCGGCTCGGAGTCAGTATAATGTGTCTGAGTGGGGTATTCATGCTTCACTGCGGCATGGTATCTCAGTGGGCTAGCACTATAAAACCAGCTTCAGTCTGGGCTAGTACAAGCAGCCGCACATACACATACACGCGCATGCACGTCGTCATATGAGCGAAATATTCTCAAGCACGACGTTAAACCCAATTTCACCTCACCTCACCTTACAAAAAATAAAGAAACCCAAAGGCATTTTCAGCAGATTATTTCCATATATTTTGACAACAATCGTAGACAATTCCTTTGCTTGAATCCCGCTAATCATGTCGTGGTGATTGTGTATTGCGCGCAAAAGCATCCCAAAATGTGTATGTAAACGTTTTGTCATAAAAAATGAAAACCATACATCAAAAGTGCATGCAAGAAACGCTTTGGCGCAATGCACTTGCAAAGTATCTGAAACATGAGGAGAGAAATCGACTATAAAAGGCTAAACCACATTCATCATTCCATTACGAAACGAAGATAACAAATGCCTAGATTGAATGCTACTGACCGAAATATCGTCATTGGACGTTTGGAAGCAGGGGAGTTCCAGTCAACTTCAACGTCCACCACAGCACCATATCTCGATTATGGCATTGATATACCCACTTCAATTCGACCCAAGATCGTCCCAGAAGTGGAAGACCAAGAGTGACCCCTCCCGCTCAGGACCGATTCATCCGGGTGTTTCACCCACGTCACCCATTTGCTACAGCAACGGACAATGCAGGACATTTGCCTGGTCCTCGAAGAATTTCCTACCAAACATCAGAAATTGTCGGAGAGAAGTAGGAATTCGAGCATATCGACAAAACGTTGAACCTGTCCTGACACGATTACACCGACAACGACGTGTCCAATGCTGCAACAGGGTACAGGCATGGGATCTGGGGAACTGGCGACGCGTTTGGTTCAGCGATGAATCGCGTTTCCTCCTGCAACAACGGAATGGGGACAACGTGTCTATCGACGTCGACACTAACATTTTGCGCCCAACTACGTTCGACAGGTGAACAGATCTGGTGAAAGAAGCGTTATGGTGTGGGGATGCATGTCCTACACGGGTAGATCAGAGCCGGTGGTGGTCCAAGGCAATCTTACAGCAAATGGCCACATGGACCAAATTCTGCGACCTCACCTCAGCCCACTATTTGATCGCCAAAGGGAGCTGTTTCACTACAAACAGTTCGCGTAACAGGTGTCTATATCACCAATGCAAACGTCAATGTAATTCCCTGGCCTCCAAAATCGCCTGATCTGAACCCGATCGAGCTTCTATGGGACGAACCTGATCGACGCGTCCGTAAACGTAAACCATCGTCCTCAGCCACTTGCAGTACTTGCCAACGCGTTGCAGCTGGAATGGCGAACAATTCCCCTAGCAAGAATCCGACGACTTGTGCAACCTCTTCCAAGGCGGTGTCGAGCAGTGACGGCTGCAAGGGTTGGTCTCACCAGGTACTGTGAACGCCCTCTTGTGTCCACACATGTGCAGTGAGTGAACTGAATTAATGCTGACAATGACAACAATACGTATGTTCATCTGTGTGTCGAATTTCCTTCATATATGTTCAAGCTTAATCGACTTATGTACACTTAAATACACTTAATACATATCCTTATTTTGGGCCTATGCGTTTCTTTTTGGAAGAGTGTACTACCTGTGTGTCTGAGAAAAACCTTGCAAGAAAAATGCATAACATTTTATTAAAAAACAACTGTTGAATACAAAGCTGTGCGATTAAGAGGCCCGGTTTTACTCACCACTGCACTTCCCATGAATCTTGACACTTTTCGATAGTGACAAAGAAGCTCAATTATTATATTTTATGTGGTAGATACGTTCATCATTGGGTTTTTTTCAAACACTTCCTGGGAATATGATTTTTTCGATAAAATCTCGGTTCTCAAAATGTTGGTCCACAATGAAGAAAGAAAGACCGGACATGTTTCACTTGATGGACTTTGAACTTCAATTAACTTCATTTGCCTGGTTCATAAGAACAGCGCTCTTACCATATGCAAATGCGCCACAATAGAGGGTTCACAGGCAAGTTCACACGGTGAGAAGCGAGTGTGTCCACCTTGTGCATTGACGCAGGGATGGCACCTTCGCCTCACTGAGGCCACCAAACGTCGATGGAAGTCCTGGGGAAGATAATTCCTAATAACGTTTTAGATAAATTGCAATACTTTTGACTGGTTAATAGCCCATGCATATGAAACCGTGCTCTAAGGTTTCACGGGTAGTATGAATCCATCTTACTCTGTTCCAATGAGTACTATGAACAACCTTGACATTTTGATATATTTATTATATATCCTAAACTAAGTGGTTTTTTAAGCCTACAAGAGTTACGTCCCTTCGAATATCGATCGAAAATGTTCGTCTGCGACAAGAATCATGGTGAAACGCTTTGCGTCTCATGGCGCGGCAGAAACAGAAAAGAGACGGGTGGAAACGGTTCCGGAAACACACAAAAAGCACATACAAAGTGTAATAAATTCGTTACGAGGCCATTGCGAGGTAGTATGAGAAGGTAGGGCCAGTTTGGATCGGTCTGGGGAAATACGGATTCAAACGGGCTACCCAACACCACCTGGCAAGTATCCCTGTAGCTAATATCAGATTAATGATATTGAGTTCCTGCGACGTTGTTGGGGGATTCGGATAACGTCGTAAACATCTCTCCATTTCATCATAGACGTGTTCAGTAGGGACCTTTAGGGCACATTAGACTGTTGAGATACGGTTTTACAACTCGATGAACGTGTGGTCTGGCGCAATCGTTGTTAAACGTCACCTCCAGAGCCGTCCTGTTGCGAAAACTGTAAAACAACCATTTGCAAAATGTCGTCTCAGTACCTAGCAGCATTCAGGTTCACCTCAATCACAATCACTGGCATTGCTGCCGCAGCTGATATCCCACCCCAGACAATAATGCACCCACTTTCAAACCGATCCCTTACCCAAACACCAAGGCATGATGTCATGGTCACCTGTGAGCATGTTTGGGGATCTGCCCCGGCTGCAAGAAGAGAGTAACACCGCAGATGGACTGCAGTGTGACACTTGTCATCGCCATCGTTACAGAAACTATGGCACAGGTAATGCTTAGTCATAACACCTGTTTGATAAGAATGTTTCATGCATGTTAGTACAGCCAATATGAACTGATACAATTATTCAAACAATCTGAATATGCTGTTTCGACACTATACATAGATGAATGAAATATTGAAATAATTTTATGGTTGATAAAAATAATAATTTGCTGGGGTGAAACAACCTCTAAACGGGGTGAAACTGTGCTGGGGTGAACGTGTTTGCGGTGAAATAACCCGTTACCTGTGAGCCTATAAACACATGCCCTGCCGTCATCACGGTGAAGAAGGGTACCCGACTCGCCGGTATAAAGGGAACTCTTCTCCAATCATGAGTTCTTCTCCACTAGATCGATGTTCTGCCGCCTGACTATAGGCTGGGCGTCTAGGACCCATGACCTGGACGTGTAGACGTCGCCCAACTGTTCACGCAGATACTCTCTGTAGCCCGGTATGGTACGGGCTGTAGGGGTTGGAAACTGTACCAGGGGTGCGTGGGTCGACTCCATCGGTCTTGACGTGTGGTCGTTGGGCGGCTAAATGGGGACGGTCAATAACTTGATTGTTTTACTGAAAACGTCGCTATAAGTCAGAAGACTGAAGGCAGCACTGAGTGGAAATGATAAACATCTGGTTATCTGGCCTTTTAAAGTGATTATTTTCCCTCGAATATGTCATGCTTCTCGCAAATTTCGTGGAATTCAAACAACTGTCTGGCAGCCTTTCTTACACCATTTTGGGGGGGCGGTGGGGTAGCCTAATGGTTAAAGCGTTGGCTCGTCACGCCGAAGACCCGGGTTCGAATCCCCACATGGGCACAATGTGTGAAGCCCATTTCTGGTGCCCCCCCTGCCGTGATGTTGCTGGAATATTGCTAAAAGCGGCGTAAAACCAAACTCAGTCAGTCTTACACCATTTCAACACAATATGTCTCTGGTTCAAATGCGAAAACTCATTCATAAGATTACCAATGAAAACACTCTATATTAATAATATCAATTCCCTCAGAGTAAAGTGTGTGCTCATTCGAGAAGTCAAATATGGAATGTATACGTAATTCCTTCTATTAAGCCAGAAGCTTTCTCTAACACATGTAATAGAACATGCTTACATCGTCACAATTAGGTAATATTTTTTCTTCCCTTATTGACAGTGGTTTCAACGATTCAAAACATGAATTAACAGTTTGTAACGAAGTACATGTATTTTCATTTAACAGTATTGCAACACAGTAAAGTTAAGTTCGTATCAAACGTAGTTCGTTATAATCATGTGGACTAAAATATACCGTTAGAGACAAAACAAAACAGTTCGTTATATCTTTCCGGTCGTTACGGTAAAAACGTATTTGACTGTATAATTCCAAACATTTATCATCCAAAACTGTGTTCCACTTTAGATATTGCTTGTGTGAGATCAAACGATATCTCCTAGAGATATCTATTTAACAGTAGATTTTGTACAAGGCCCTGGCATCATCAATTACATGACTCACAATGATGTGACGTCATAATTTGATGACGTCACAATGCTATGACATTGCTGCACAGCAAGTCTAATGACAGTACCGTGTTAAGAGATGTACATTTTGCATTGAAAATTAATGATTTTTGACAATAAACAGAATCTCAACCTCGTGTCTACTGATATAAATTCTATCAAAACTCGTTGATAAAATTAAATATATCCTCTGACAACCTCGGATATTTTCAACTCGTGTTGATATAATTGATATCAGTAGACACTTGGGTGAGATTCTCTATATCTTCCTGACAGATGTAACCTACATTTTATATTGATATTGTTAACCATCTGTGGCAAATTTGTCCTGCACTGCACTTTTGGTGTTGTCTTCTTCAACATGCTCGTACCGTGACATGGAGAAAACGTTTCATGCAACATTCATGAGAGTAAAATGGGTCTAAATATGACAAGGTTGAAGTATCGATATCTAGCTCACCTGTTGAGTCTAAAGGTTAAAGCCAGCATTGGAGTGTTATGCATTTCCAACATGCGTGGATCCCAGCAACGGAGTTTCACGTCAGATTTATGGGACTAGTTTCCGTCTCCTAATCAGCGCACTGCTTGAAAAGTAAAAGACGGTCTCAAAACCAGTCAATCACTATATCTAAAATGAAAGTACACCTGGTGGAAACACTCGAGTGTTAAGCTTGCCTTTCATCTTGTGGAAATACAAACCAAGATAAATTATGCTTTCGTTCAATTTCTGTCAACATGAATTCCGGACTTGATAACATTTATTATTCTTTCAACAAGTGTTTACAAGATTTTTTACTTGAACTTGCATGGTATTGACGTAAATGGACTTTTAAAATTGAATTGCAATGGTTTGTCCAAACTGGACCGGGGTGGGGGTGGGGGTGTTTGGGTAGTCTAGTGGTTCAAACGTTCGCTCATCACACCGACGACGATGGTTCGATTCTTCACATTGGTACAGTAAGTGAAATGTGGTGTCCCCGTCGTAATATTGAATATTGCTAAAAGTGGCTTAAAACTATGCTCTCTCACTCTTAGCTAATATAAACTCACGGGCGAAAGAAACGTCACCAAAATGATTTTGTTTATCTTTTATCGTACACTAAGTGATTATTCATATCATTGAGAATGTTTTAAATCCATTAATTTTCCAAATATGATTGTTAAATTTCCAAAATCTGAGTTTGTTGTTTTGTGACATGTTAAAAAAGCGAGGTGACGTTTCTTTCGCCCGTGAGTTTATTATTTATTCACATCATTAGAATGCTAATCATGGTAAATGCTGAATGTTGTATTAAGCACGAATATACACAATGACTTTGGTGGATCGCTTTGCACTTAATGCTACTGTCAATAATGTGTACTGTTATCACCGATTCAGGACAGTCATTGAAAATGTCACTTGACATATACTATACTATACTTAACTTAACTCTGATAAGTAAACAATACCGTTTAACTAAACGTCTTCTCACGGTCCCTGGAAGTAAATTACTTAACAAAAGAGACTGGATAACTAAATTAGCGATCACCACATAATCCGACATGAGGGGCACGTGTCAGTCTCCAGCCAAACAAACATCCTTCTTACAGCTCGCTGGCGTCAAGCAGTTGACAATACACTGATTAGTTTTTCATTGTTACATATGTATACATATACATGCATATGGTTGTCATTTGCAGGTTTTGATGAGTTTGGATAAGTAAAATACCTGATAAGTAAACAATTTTGGCGAGTCCCTTGAAATTTTACTTATCAGGTTTCCACTGTAGTTATAAAATACGTGGACGATTCCGTCAGTGACTCAGCATAATACAGACGATCGTCAATCTCATTGGAATCAAATATTTTACTCAAACACGATACGGATCTGTTGACGGAGAAAGGTATGAAGCGATATAAAAGATGGGATTTTAAGTAAATCGAGACGATCATTTGTGTTAACAGCTTGCTATCAAACACACCACCCAATTTGTCAATGGCAAAGCGATAGACTTAGGTTATTCTAGAAGTATACAAAGAAAGGGGCGTATGACTGCACCCTGTCTGATACGACAGGTAGTTTAACATAGGCATTTACGTCACTCCTTGACGCTTTACCTGTTGGCGTAGCTGTCCCATCCCGAGCAAACAGTGCCGAAAAAGTATAATTAATTAGTTTACTATCTCTTTAATGTTAAGTCGAATACCTAATCCGATTAACAAGGCGATTAGAAAATGCCAGTGTGACCAGGTTAAAATGAATGAGGCAGTTCCCAAATATAAAAGAACAGATATAAATAGCCCACGTCACAGAGCTACGTCAATGCAATGATTTATTCTAGAAAGTTAAGAATCGCTCTAATGAGATTCCTAGCATTTTTACGAGTTTATCGATTTGTTTTCATCCCCACGCAACCAATCCCGATAAGGATGGTATAAAAACCCGGGCCATAACCACAGCAGTAGACAAACCCATCACGACACTGACCACCTCATTGCCAAGAAGATACCCATATCACTAGGTGAAAAACTTTCGCGGATATTACAGATAACATATTGGCTTCAGGATCAGTTTACGAGATTTCAAAGGCAGGCAATTAAGCTTATTTTATAAGCTTGTAACAGAAGAGATTTATTTGAGAACTTTAGTGCCCGTCAAACCTTTGAACTGATCGGTGAATTACTGAGGAAGAAACGGTTTCAGGGTTTGAATATTTGACGAGAGATTATTTCTGAGGTCTGCGACAGGACTATGGACACTTTCAGGACATTATTGTTTGTGACATGTGTTGTTCCTGCAGCTTTGGGAGCACCAAGATATAACCAGGTAAGCAGATTCAATATTTCTTCGAACCATTAACAAATACATACTTGTTTCAGTATCTAGAAGGTCAATCAATGGAGAAATCTTATACTCCATAGCGTTTCACTGTGCATAGTTCTGACCCTTTAGCATGCCAGGATCTTATGACTATATTCGCTGTCTTTGAAGTCGTGTGGTAAACGTCTATGTCCCGCGTCACTTGGAATTTTTTGCGCATATAAAATCGGGCCTCCATGATATAACTAAAATATATTTTAAACGGTACTGAACCATAATCTCCCTCGTAGCTTCAGAAATACGGTTTTGATGGTGTTGACTGAGAAATACGTTCGCCTAAGCATTGCTTGCATGCTAAACATTACAGCTGTTTTGTACAGTGACATTCGCAACGTCTTCAATGTGACAATTTATGTTCTTTTTGTTTGTTGATTGTTGTCGTTCCGGTTGTTTAACGCCGCACACAGTAATATTTCAGAAATATGACGGCGGTCATTAGATAATCAAGTCTGGATCAGATAATCTAGTGATTGAAACGTGACCATCGAAGCGCCATTTTTGTATACACGAATATCAATTTCACCATCACCAGGGGCGTAGCTACCATTATAAAAAAAGCCCGGGTTTACACATGATTTAAAAAGTGACAGTTGAACAAGCCCTCAATGCTATCTAAATATAAAGCTTTGCGACCTATCGGGCTTACACGAAACAGTTGGCTCGCTACGCGCCTGATCACTGACTTATGTGTGAACACTCAGGTGATCTCCAGGAGTTTTGTATTCTTGTATCTGTGCTGTGATATTACTGAAATACTGCTAAAAGTGGCGTTTAGCTTAGCTCTTTAATTATTTTTGGACGAGACACGACTTGCATGCAAAACCATATATTATCCCAAGTGCTTAGGTTGATGCTCATGTTATTGATCACTGGATTGTCTGGACCAGACTCGATTATTTACGGACCGCCGCCATATAGCTGGAAGAGTGCTGAGTCCGGCGTTAAACAACATTAAACAACAAACAATCAAATACATCACTATCTGAAAAAAACCCATTTCTTCTTTGTTTCAATTTTACGCACCATCAAATAGGGGTGCGGACTTCTTCAGTTCAAAATGTGCACTTTTTTGCAGCCCTTGAATGAGCGAGACCCATTGGCCCGCCTACAACTGCTAAGTTCGCACGGTCTGCCGAAGCCAGATGAGGAACTGGATGTGGACAGTCCTGAGTTTGAGTTCGACATGGTGCTGACGCCGCAACAGCGCTTATACATCTCCACACACTCCGGTGAGACGGATCCCAGTCAGGCTTGGAAGAGGAAGGTCATCATTGACGTGACCAGACACTGGCCACAGGCTATCATACCATACCAGATTGCACCAGGCCTCAGTACGTTGAGTAAATCACATGTATCTGCATGACACTGTCCATGATGGGTTTTGTTTGTTTGTAGCGATCTCCGCAATTACAATACGATGGCATATGTCAACCAAGTCAGCGAGCCTGACCACCCAATCCCGTTATTCGCCACTTACGACAAGCATGGATTGCTGAAGACCAATTCTAACCCGGATCTTCACGGGTTCTAGATGTACAGTTATGGAGTGCGGATGGGACTTGTTTGGCACAGCCATAGAATCTTATCTTGTAGTAGGCCTATAGTCAATACAGGTAATGGGAAATGGGATTTAACGTCATGACATGTCGTGATAATACTGGACAGCTGTTCAAATGGCATCAAGCATCTCCGTCCCTCTTTCAGAGCAGTACCAGGTCCAGTGGGCGGTGGATGCCATGTCACTGTGGGAGAACAACACGTGCATCAGGTTCCGTCCTCGGTCACGACTCCTGGCTTCACAACTCCGACACGACGACTACGTCACCTTCACAAACGATTCCAGGTACGTCACAGTACGCCACGTTACGTCCATATCAACTAGGTAGCCTTGTACTTCAATTTCTTTTCACTGGGTTCAGTTCCCCGCATTTGTCCAATATTTGAATTCCCGTTGTTGATGGGTTTTGCTGAAGGTGGAATAAAAATCCAAATCACTTACTCACAATGCATTGTTGAACATAGTACATTGTAGTACATTGTCTTGTTTACAAGAGACAACAAAACCTATTCAGCAAATTTTGTTTCTTACACGACAGACAATTTACTTGTCCTATCTTGTTGAAATGATCCACTAGAAAACTTATCAGTTCTAGCGTTGTATAGACTGGAATCTTTTCAGTGTTTCTTGTAGTTTAGATGTACGTCTGAGACAGTTTCATTTCTCTCCAGTTGCAGGACAATGGTTGGCCGGGTAGCCGGGGGTCAAGATCTTTCTGTTGGTCAGTGCAGTGTGAGTAACATTATGTATTCCCTTGAATGGTCTTCAGCTACCATGTTTGTCGTAAGGTCGGACCCGTGAAGATCCGGGTTAGGATTGATCTTCAGTAACCCATGCTTGTCGTAAGAGGCGACTAACCGGATCGGGTGGTCAGGCTCGCTGACTTGGTGACACATGTCACCGTATCCCAGTTGCGTAGATCGATGCTCATGCTGTTGATCACTGGATTGTCTGGTCCAGACTATTTACAGACCGCCGCCATGTAGCTGGAATATTGCTGAATGCAGCGTTAAACAACCAACCAACCAACGTAAGGGTCAACTAACAGCATTAGGTGGTCATGTCATTGAATGTTAGATATTTCCATGGATCAATGGTCATCATGGACTGTTTTGTCTAGACTCAGTTATTAACAGACAGTCGTCATATTGATGAATGATCCGAGCTATACCAGACGATCTGAGCTATACCAGAGAAAATTCATATGCATATTCACTCAAGTGAATAATGATGTTTACAAATGATGTCTCCCTGACGGTGTCCAGTACAGAATGTCGGCATTTAAATGTACATTTATAACCGACGTAATTTCAGCATGATGGAATCAGATAAAAAAACTCTTGGAATTCAAGTGAGCGTGTCACATGTAGAGAGCCTGAAACACCTGTTCACGAACTGAACACCCAAACTTCGAAAACGGCCGTGTAATGCTTTCATATGTTTGATTTTTTCCATACCAGAAAGGTTCGATCGTGCATGAACTGGGACACACGATTGGCTACGTCCATGAACAGTCGCGTCCCGACCGTGATGCTAACGTGGACATCATCGAGCACAACATCATCCCCACCAGAGAGTCAGACTTCAAGAAATATACCAACAAGTTGGTCAGCACCTACGGCCTACCTTACGACTATGGCTCCATAATGCATTACAGCTCTACCGTAAGTTATATTCTCTCATACAGAACCATCGTAAGTTGTTACTCTTTTATACAGAGCAAACGTAACCTGGTACTCCCTCGTACGTACCAATCGTAAGTTGTTTCTCTGCCATACAGAGCCGCCTTAAGGTATTAGTCTCTCATACAGAGCCGTCGTAAGTTGATACTCTCTCATTCAGAGCCATCGTAAGTTGATACTCTCTCATTCAGAGCCATCGTAAGTTGATACTCTCTCATTCAGAGCCATCGTAAGTTGATACTCTCTCATTCAGAGCCATCGTAAGTTGATACTCTCTCATTCAGAGCCATCGTAAGTTGATACTCTCTCATTCAGAGCCATCGTAAGTTGATACTCTCTCACACAGAGCCATCGTAAGTTGATACTCTCTCACACAGAGCCGTCGTAAGTTGATACTCTCTCATTCAGAGCCATCGTAAGTTGATACTCTCTCATTCAGAGCCGTCGTAAGTTGATACTCTCTCATTCAGAGCCATCGTAAGTTGATACTCTCTCATTTCAGAGCCATCGTAAGTTGATACTCTCTCATTCAGAGCCATCGTAAGTTGATACTCTCTCATTCAGAGCCATCGTAAGTTGATACTCTCTCATTCAGAGCCATCGTAAGTTGATACTCTCTCATACAGAGCCATCGTAACTTGATACTCTCTCATTCAGAGCCATCGTAAGTTGATACTCTCTCATTCAGAGCCATCGTAAGTTGATACTCTCTCATTCAGAGCCATCGTAAGTTGATACTCTCTCATTCAGAGCCATCGTAAGTTGATACTCTCTCATTCAGAGCCATCGTAAGTTGATACTCTCTCATTCAGAGCCGTCGTAAGGGCAATACGCTACGTACGCTATGTTCGTGTCATGCGTTCTTGCACTCTAATACAGAGGCTTCGTTGGGTGTTATTGTTTCATACAGACCCGACATACGTTTTTACACTCTCATCCAGCGATATCGTGCGTTACTACTTCCCAATACAGCGCAATCGATACTTCATACGGAAACATCTTAAGTTACTCTCTCATACAGTTCCATTGTAAGATCCATCACAGGTTCTTATTCTCTCCGTAAACCCATCGTAAGATCCTACATCGTCATACGGAAATGTTGTTCGTTTTTACTTTTTCATACAGAGCTATCGTAAGTTCTTACTCTCTTATATAAAGCCATTGTAAGTTACTCTGCCCTAATTGAGAGCCATCGTGAGGTGTTACTCTCTGATACAGACCCATCATAAAATGTAGCTCTCTCACACAAAGCCATCGTAAGGTATTAATCTCGCATTCAGAGCCACCGTAAGAGCAATAAGCAACGTGCAGTATGACCATTTTATGATTACATTATCTGGTGGTCAGATCCTCATTGGATTCTCCTCAGGGAGAGGAGAACGTAACTGGATTGAACACTGATCCGCCGACCTCGTTACAAAATCAAGTGCTTTGAGCGCACGCTATTTACGACAATGTTAATTACATGTCATGTTAAGATTGGCTTAAAACTGCATAAGAAAGTTCACCGCACAGAGAAGGTTAAAGCTAACATGTTTTCCATGACAACTAGTTCTTCATTGACATCTCAATGGCATGTCTCTGCAGGCGTTCTCCAAGAATGGCGGACTGACAGTCCGGACGCATGACCCCCATCTGCAGATGGTCATTGGTCAGAGAAGAGACCTTAGTTTCCTGGACGTCCAGCTGGCTAATGAACTGTATAAATGTAACGGTAAGTCAACACCGTTAGTCCATGGGTTTAGTCCATACTTAGTACATGTGGGAATAGCCTCTGGGGTAACCGACTTAGAACTGGTTCCGAAGAACCTTTGCCGGTCTAAAGAGCGACTGAAGCGGGGGAACAATTCGCTGTGCAGAGGTGCATCCCTTACAGAGTTGGTTGGTTTGTTTGTTGTTTAACGCCGCACTCAGCAATATTCCAGCTACATAATCTGGACCAGACAATCCAGTGATCAACAGCATGAGCATCGTTCCACGCAATTGGGAGACGTTGACATGTGTCAACCAAGTTAGCGAACCTGACCATCCAATCCCGTTAGTCGCCTTTCACGACAAGCCTGGATTTCTGAAGACCCATTCTAACCCGACTCTTCATGGGTCTCATCCCGTAGGAGGGGGAAGATTAATTTGATCCTTAACAACTGGTCTGCACTATTACCGAGTTGGTGGTTTCCACCCACTCAAGCACTTACACACAAATTGTAAACATACAGCTCATCTTCAGTCTTCCTGTCACCTTATCATGAAACTCTCTGTTATTAGGAATACTGTTGTTCCAAGCGGCGTCAAACTCACTCACTCACTCACACACTCATGAGATTAATCACTCATGATGTTACTCACTCATGATGTTAATCACTCATGGTGTTAATCACTCATGGTGTTAATCACCACTCATGATGTTAATCACTCATGATGTTAATCACTCATGATGTTAATCACTCATGATGTTAATCACTCATGGTGTTAATCACTCATGATGTTAATCACTCATGATGTTAATCACTCATGATGTTAATCACTCATGGTGTTAATCACTCATGGTGTTAATCACTCATGTTAATCACTCATGGTGTTAATCACTCATGATGTTAATCACTCATGGTGTTAATCACTCAAGATGTTAATCACTCATGATGTTAATCACTCATGATGTTAATCACTCATGGTGTTAATCACTCATGATGTTAATCACTCATGATGTTAATCACTCATGGTGTTAATCACTCATGATGTTAATCATGGTGTCACCATGATGTTAATCACTCATGAGATTAATCACACTCATGATGTTAATCACTCATGAGATTAATCACTCATGATGTTAATCACTCATGGTGTTAATCATTCATGGTGTTAATCACTCATGGTGTTAATCACTCATGATGTTAATCACTCATGGTGTTAATCACTCATGGTGTTAATCACTCATGGTGTTAATCACTCATGGTGTTAATCACTCATGGTGTTAATCACTCATGGTGTTAATCACTCATGATGTTAATCACTCATGGTGTTAATCACTCATGAATCACTCATGTTAATCACTCATGGTGTTAATCACTCATGATGTTAATCACTCATGGTGTTAATCACTCATGATGTTAATCACTCATGGTGTTAATCACTCATGATGTTAATCACTCATGATGTTAATCACTCATGGTGTTAATCACTCATGGTGTTAATCACTCATGGTGTTAATCACTCATGGTGTTAATCACTCATGATGTTAATCACTCATGACGTTAATCACTCATGATGTTAATCACTCATGATGTTAATCACTCATGGTGTTAATCACTCATGGTGTTAATCACACTCAAAATGGCGGTGTTAATCACTCATGGTGTTAATCACTCATGATGTTAATCACTCAAGATCATCAAGATGTTAATCACTCAATGATGTTAATCATTCATGGTGTTAATCACTCAAGATGTTAATCATTCATGGTGTTAATCATTCATGGTGTTAATCATTCATGGTGTTAATCACTCAAGATGTTAATCACTCATGATGTTAATCACTCATGCATGTTAATCATTCATGGTGTTAATCACTCATGGTGTTAATCACTCAAGATGTTAATCACTCATGGTGTTAATCACTCATGATGTTAATCACTCATGGTGTTAATCATTCATGGTGTTAATCACTCATGACGTTAATCACTCAAGATGTTAATCATTCATGGTGTTAATCACTCAAGATGTTAATCATTCATGGTGTTAATCACTCAAGATGTTAATCATTCATGGTGTTAATCACTCAAGATGTTAATCATTCATGGTGTTAATCACTCAAGATGTTAATCATTCATGGTGTTAATCATTCATGGTGTTAATCATTCATGGTGTTAATCATTCATGGTGTTAATCACTCATGGTGTTAATCACTCATGATGTTAATCACTCATGGTGTTAATCACTCATGATGTTAATCACTCATGGTGTTAATCATTCATGGTGTTAATCACTCATGGTGTTAATCACTCAAGATGTTAATCATTCATGGTGTTAATCACTCATGGTGTTAATCACTCAAGATGTTAATCATTCAATCACTTCATGGTGTTAATCACTCATGATGTTAATCACTCATGGTGTTAATCATTCATGGTGTTAATCATTCATGGTGTTAATCACTCATGATGTTAATCATTCATGACGTTAATCACTCAAGATGTTAATCACTCATGGTGTTAATCACTCAAGATGTTAATCATTCATGGTGTTAATCACTCAAGATGTTAATCATTCATGGTGTTAATCACTCATGGTGTTAATCACTCAAGATGTTAATCATGCATGGTGTTAATCACTCATGGTGTTAATCACTCATGGTGTTAATCATTCATGGTGTTAATCATTCATGACGTTAATCACTCAAGATGTTAATCATTCATGGTGTTAATCACTCAAGATGTTAATCATTCATGGTGTTAATCACTCAAGATGTTAATCATTCATGGTGTTAATCACTCAAGATGTTAATCATTCATGGTGTTAATCACTCATGATGTTAATCACTCATGATGTTAATCACTCATGATGTTAATCACTCATGGTGTTAATCATTCATGGTGTTAATCACTCATGACGTTAATCACTCATGATGTTAATCACTCAAGATGTTAATCACTCATGATGTTAATCACTCATGATGTTAATCACTCATGGTGTTAATCACTCATGATGTTAATCACTCATGATGTTAATCATTCATGGTGTTAATCACTCATGATGTTAATCACTCAAGATGTTAATCATTCATGGTGTTAATCACTCATGGTGTTAATCACTCAAGATGTTAATCATTCATGGTGTTAATCATTCATGGTGTTAATCACTCAAGATGTTAATCATCATGGTGTTAATCATCATGGTGTTAATCACTCAAGATGTTAATCACTCATGATGTTAATCACTCATGATGTTAATCACTCAAGCTGTTAATCAGACGGGATTGTCTTCCAGATCACTGCACTACACACCAGACCTGCAACAACAATGGTTATGTGGGCCCTGATTGCAAGTGCGTGTGTCCAGAAGGACTGACTGGGGACACGTGCGACCAGCTGATGGCGTCGGACAAAAGTAAGCTTGAAAGAAGAATACAAATTGAATTAATATTTTTATTTTGATAAAATGCATAGTTATCCAAATGCTCCCTAAACATCGTCTTCTCGATATCTGAGGGACTACCGAATACACGTTGGAAAGCATGTATATTTGGCCCTTTCATCATTGCGGGGCGGTGGGGTAGTCTAATGGCTAAAGTGTTCGCTCGTCACGCCGAAGACCCGAGTTCGATTCCCCACAAAGGTCCAATGAGTGGAGCCGATTTCTGGTTTCCCTAGCCATGATATTGCTGGACTGTTGCTAAAAGCGGCGTAAAACCATGCTCACTCACTCACTCACTCCGTTTCATCATTGCAGATTGCGGTGGCGTGCTGAATGCATCATCCGGGTCACTTCAAACACCAGATTATCCGATGGATTATCCGCAGAACGCTGACTGCTATTGGTTGATTGAGGTAAGCAAAAGTGCAGTATTTTTATGAATATATAAATTCAAGGTCAAAGGTCACGTTTGTTGTCCTTGGGTGTCAGTTGATAATTTTCAAAAAAAGTTGTAGCACAAACGAGATTATTTTACTTCTAGTCGAGCGTACACATCAGACAAGAGGTAAAGTATTTAATTGCCGATCGTCGATATTTTATATCATGGAGTCAAAACCGTGAAATAGTTGGTTACAAAAATACAATAATTATGGAAATTCCCAGCGAAGAAACATAAATTTTAACCAGTCAAAAGTCAGTATTTTCAAATTGGTTAATGTTGTTCACAAATAAAATCTCAATCAGGTCTATTCTATGATGCTTGAAATATGTAAAACCTCTCCATGCTTATTCAAAGTCGCGCAACTTGATTGAAATACTTGGATAAAGGTGAAACCCCATTAAAGAATACTGCGATAAAATAACGTAGGTTATGTCCATACGGTATGCGGAATGCTCTTCTCCAATCTGTTGGGCGGTGAGGGAAGCCTAGAGGTTAACTCGTTCGCTCGTCACGCCGAAGACCCGGGTTCGATTCCCCACATGGGTACAATGTGTGAAGCCCATTTCTGGTGTCCCCCTCGGTGATATTGCTGGATTTTTATTTATAAGCGTCGTACAACTAAACTCACTCACTCTGTTCTGTGACTTTAGGGTCCTCCACGTTCCAACATCGTACTGACCTTCGACGCGTTTGACACAGACAACGAGATGGACTGTCAGTGGTGCGCATGTGACTACTTGGAGGTCAAGGTTTACGGGTTAAATAAAGTGGGTCAAAGGTGAGGCGCTTATGTTATCAACTTTCAAGATGAAATATGGATCTGAAAAAGT